AGACGGTGAGGCTCCACTCAACGAGGGATTACACAATCCCCGCCTCAACCTAACCTTTCTCCCCCACCTCTGTAATGCGCGCGCGAACAACGAAGGTAGGAGTCGAGCAAGCGAGCAAGGCAGCCAAGGCAGGTAAGCAAACAGGCAAGGCAGACAGGCAGGCAACTAGCAAGCAGTCAGCCAGGTATACCACCTTCTTGCAACATAATACAATAATTATGAAATTCGTGAGTTTCTAAAGAGCGGCGCATGCCACGATTTTCACTGTCCCACCTAATTTTCCAGGCTCCCACCGGCCGAATCATCACTTAAAATGTCTGATATATTTTCTCTCGTTGGGTCTCTAAACAAGACCATATTCGTCGTCGAAATATTTCTGACTGATTTTGACTGCGCCACTCACTTTTACGACGGGATACATTTTGCGTGTCCTGCGGACAGGATCTAATGGAACGGTGAGAGTATTCCGTGTTAAGCCGAAGACCTGCTCCACGTGGCGGACAGATGCAAGGGATACGCTGGTCTTTTCGCAGTTATAAACATGGTACACTCTAGCTTTTAACCTCCAACGGATTACTGCAGCGAAATTCTCCATGTGTCACTACATCTGGTTCTCTTTGAAGCACTTCAAAGCTTTTGTCAATTTGTCTTGTTCGTAATGATTTCATACGTTACTTCAATGTTTCAGATATGCTTGTTGTAATAAAATATGCTGGCGCTGACTCATTAACTACTAATTATAGAAACATTTAACGGCAGAGGACTGTATATCTCTGTATAATTCGAACGCAGTAAGATTACAAATAAGTAGATGAAGAAGGGCGAATCGAGGGTGTCGCGAATTTTATTTCGATAGAAGATCCACCGGGAAAATGGAATTTCATCGAGAGACATTGAGGCAGAAAAGCACGAGGCATCGCTTCGGCTCGCGCGAACAGTCATCGCCTATCTCGATTGCAAAATGCGAAAGAATTATGAGTGTACCTATGCACGATTATCCGTGCGATCCGAGCGAGCGTTTAACGGTAATAAACCGAACCTTTCTTTCAAACGATATCGGCCAGTTGAGAAATTTCACATTACGTAAATTAATTGGAAAATTGATAAATAAATTCATCGGTAATGAAACTTTGGTTCCAAGGAACATGGTTGAATCAGCGGTTTTTACAATATTAAGTAACGCCGTTAAGTAATGCGTTAAGTGGCACAAACGGCGAATCTTTTTTCGTGGTTAACGAACACATGCAAGGCTCTGTGCGTCATGATGCGCGGAACTTTCGATGTCGGAAGCGACCGAAGAATCTTTTCGAGTCTAATTTCACCTGTTGTCGCAGGTGAAAATATATTTCGATCATCTAATAGAAATTTGGTCCTCGGTCCTCGAAAGGCTTTCACCCGAGTCTATCGCGTGGATACGAAACGGGCTTCGAAACGTTCTACCTCAAATTTCTAGATTCTACTTGCGCAACATCATACTACCGGTTTGGCCATAGGCGAACGTGCGCGCGCATATTGCTGATCCTCCACGTGACAAATCTGCCTCTGTTCAAAAAGAACACTCGCTGGCATTCGAAATTTTTTTGTTAGGAATGACGCTAATGACGGAAAGGAAAGGCGCGTAAGAAGTTAGTTCTTTAAAAGCCGCATTGAGAGCGAAATTTTTTACGTCTACCATACCGGATGCCTAAATATCCATCCCTTTAAACTTAACAATCTAAAGTCAAATCTAATTAACGAATCAACTAACTTTACGTTTCCTTTTACACAATAGAGGAGCCGATATCATTGAAAGACAATTATAATTGTTGCACCATACGGTGAAGGCAACTACGAATCCAAAATTGGATGGGAAATAAAGAATAATAATAATAATAATAATAATAAAATATCGTTTGTAAAACAAATAATACGAACCTCGAAGAAAAAATATCGTCAGAAATTAGGTGCGCGTTTAATAAAAAAGAGAAAGTAAACCAAATACTGTTGAGCTAATGTTGCACAAATTATTTTTATTGTTTTTCGACCATTGTTTTACGAATTTGATTATTCTGTATGTATTTGTACAAACTAATATCGTTTAAATTTTTAGTTTACTTTCGCTGTAGCAAATATTGAATTATAGCATACAAAGAACGCGTTTGATGGAAAAAATTTTCAGGATAATGTTTCAACGAATGAACAACGAGCAGACTTCAATATCGATGTGTTTTACAAAATCAGACGAAACATGAAAATTTGAGATAGTTTGTCATCTTGGTAATGCTTCAAGTCCCCGAATGGAGCCAGTCAAATCACTCGCGTCTGCGAAATTCAGACTCTTGTGTCAATATTTGATCGTGTCTGTACATATATGGCGGTACGTTCGAAAGTGAAATTAAAAACCCAACGAACGTTTCGGTCATTGTCGATGGCCCGTTTCTGTGAACAACGTTACGGCAACTACAGCTGGTTTAGCCTCGTTTTAAAAGGTAAAACAGCTTCATTCAGCGCGAAAGGGTAAAAGCGTGAAGTAACAGACAGTCGTATATCAAAGAGCTTTTCGTCCTTTCCTCTTGGCCGGGTTTTTTCGTTTCGTTTCTTTTCTTTTCTTTTTTTTTTTTTTNTTTTTTTGCTAATTTTCTTAATTACAATGTCAGGAGAGCACGAGGAATTTGAGTCAGAAATTTAAACGCGTTTGCAGGTTTCATGGGATGAGACGTGACCCCGTTTTACCAGAGTTTTACAATCTCGTGTAATAAATGTGAATGTTCTGCTAGATGAGTTCATGGCTTCCAGAAGAGGATGGTTTTCAATCGGCTGTAAAGCAGGTCCGAGGTAACGTTCATTACGTTTGAATGAGCCTTGCTCTCATATTCACGGGCCGGTGCAAACGGCAGATTCGTTGCAGAACTGTGATCACCACCACAAGCGTAATTTTTGTCCCGATGTCAAAGCGCTACTCCAAAATGTGTCCAAAGTAAACAATGAACGATGTACGTTTTATTTGAAAATAAACCTGCAGACTAACTATATGTAAGAATATATTGTAACGGTAGAAATAATGGCCACAATAACAACGAAACTTTTGTTATCGATCGTGCATTGCAAGTGTTACGAAACGATGGTCGAATTAACAACAAAAAGCATTGTCAAGTGCATACTCAACAATTAACGGTTAAATAATATTATTAAAATGCAATTAAACACACTGTTAAAATGCAAAATTTCATATAGCAAAAAAAAAAAAAAAAAGAGATACATGTTTAGATATTTCAAGACGGCTAGAAAATCGACTGATACGACGAGAAGTACGATACGTTCTCGGTATAAATCGGCTTCATCGGTATAAAATTTGTACGTGGACGGACGTTTTTACATTTCTGAATAGCGTGCAAGTAAGAAACTGTTTCCTTTCGTAAACACTCGCAAGCACTCTGGAAACTTTCCGCGTTAAGCAATCCGCGTTGCCGCTGTAGGAACGCCGTGGAAAACGGCGTGCAAAGGCGGCAATTGCGACAGAGCCTGTTTCGAGATTCGCTTAATCGCTGGGCCTTGAGGGCCTAGACCCAGTTACTCGAATTGCATTAGACGCTTCGTTCGAATCGTCCTCCCATTTAACCGCTACCAAAGTGCAAAAAAAAAAAAAAAGAAAAACGATTTTCTAAGACAGCGACGAATTGTGGTTTCACGAATATATAACCTCGACTTTCGCGTAAAATCTGCATAACCCGCTTGTGGAAAGCGGATCGTTTAGAAAACTGACGGTGACTGCATTGCGAATTCTTTTTATTGTGCATACGTGTAGTAAGAATGGTTTGTCTAATCGGCTGCACGAAATGGACGTGATCCGGTGTAATTAAAATTAATGATGGAACGTTGTCACGTGAATAATATGATACGATGAAATGAACAAGAAACTGTGGTTCGAAACAGAAAGCATTATGGAGCGACGAAAGAATTTGTAAAGGAAGACAACAGTATCGGTTGAGCGCTTCATCGTGTGTAATAAGGTTAAGTTCGTAGGAGTGTGATGCGAAAACACTCGAACGCGAACGAGTTCTGCCGAGGTTTGCCGAAAGGAGCCGTACGGTACCGAAGCGCAAATCGGTGTACACACGTTCGCGCGTAAACCACGCTTGACGTTCCGCATACTGTGTACGCAACGATATTGAATAAGAGATAACGTGAAGATTGATAACAATGCGGTAATGTTAACGCACGAATGATGTCGTGAAAGTTATGGCAAAATTATGCTCGTGAGAAAACGGTGAAAGTAAGTAGATCACAGCGAAGTTCAATGGGAACAATAAACCACGCGTGTGTCGATATCGATATGTAAAAATTATTATGCATTCCTTAATAATGATGAAATATAAAAAGAATGAACGGTATCTGTTTTATTAAGATTTTAACTTTGTTTTCCAACGGTATCGATATTGATATTTTTTTTACAGAAAACCTGTTACACGTGCAGATGCAATAACACGCGTGTCTCGCGATTATGTTGCATAATTGAACATCGAAAACTGCTCGGCCGCATATACGTGTGCGCTTCGTTCTTTTACCTTTTGCATAAAAATCGCGACAATACCCGCATGCAACGCTTTCACATCCAAAAAATGGGCACCCATATTGTCGGCCAAGTAAAGTCCGTTTGCGTAACAGTACGAAATTCATCGTATCGTTGTTTGCCTACTACACATCATCCCGCCTTGTTTCATCTCCGAAATTTGCAAAACTTTCGAAAGAAAAAAGAAAAAAGAAAAAGAGAGAGAGAGAGAGAGAGAGAGAGAGAGAGNAGAGAGAGAGAGAGAGAGAGAGAGAGAGAGAGAGAGAGAAAGAAAAGAAAAGAAACGAAGAGACATTCCGTGAGAGACTCCGCCGCGAAAGACTACCGAGAAATTCGCGCGCGCACACGTATCTTTGCAAAGCGTAACAGAAAGAAGCGTAATAAAAAGAGATATGTAGCCGCGGTGTAATGATGTCACAGTGATTCAACGAAAAAAAAAAAAAAAACTCACCCTCAAGCTTCATGCCGACTTCGAGGCACTTCTGAAAACGGCAGTAGGGACACCGCTTCCGTTGCGTTTTGTCAATGTGACAGGACCTCTCGGCGACGCACGTGTAGACCTTCTTGTTTTGGACGGTGCGTTTGAAGAAACCCTTGCAGGATTCGCAGGTGAGTAGTCCGTAATGATAACCGGAGACCTTGTCACCGCAAACCGGGCAGAGCTCTTCTATGATGATGTCCTTGGTGTCGGGGAATTCGGACGGGCACGGTATCGAGCCGGTCACGACACCAACCCCGACCTGGCCCAACCCGGGATGACAGATGGTACCAGTTGGTAATGAGTAGGTGGTAGTTGGTATCGCGACATTGCCGCTTACCGTAGCGGATCCGCCGCTATTTCCGCTTCCACCGGCCGCACCACCACCGCTACCGCCGCCGCCAGCAGCGGCATTCCCTGCGGTGGGCCCACTGCCGCCAGCGGCACCCGCACCACCGCCTCCGCCTGTTCCTCCGCCCCCGCCTCCGGCACCAGAGGCACCGCCGCCGCCACCACCGGCGTAACTGCTACCACCGCCACTCTCGAGAGCTGTCGACGTGCCGCAACCACCACTTCCGGCGCTGTTTGCTGCGCTATTGCTGCCTCCACTGCCGCCAGTGCCGCTTCCGGCTCCTGTTGGCGAGAACAGACACGTGTACACCTTCTTGTTGCCGCAAGATCCGATCTCGAGTGAGGATGATGTACCGCCGCCGCCACCACCGCCACAACCACCGGTTCCACCGTTGTTACCACTGCTGCCACCGTTTCCGCTAGTTCCGCCGCCTCCGCTACCACCACCTCCGCCACCGCCACCTCCGCCGCCCCCGCCACCCCCGCCTCCCGTCGGCGAGAACAGGCACGTGTATACTTTTTTACTGCTGCACGGCGAGTTGTTACGTTTGAAAAACCCTTTGCACGACTCGCACGTGAGAAGACCATACTGATAACCGGACATTTTGTCGCCGCACATCGGGCACCGTTCTTCAAGGGCGGTGGAGTCGAAGAACGCGGCGTCGAAACTCGAGATACCACCCTGCGAGTGCGACTGCTGACCGTGTACCGGCAGTTGTTGCTGCTGCTGGGATTGTTGCTGCGATTGCGACTGATGACACATGGTTGCCGGTGGACTTTGAGCGCAGTTCCCGTACGGCGACGAACCGTACTGTGGCTGTTGCTGTTGCTGCGCCTGTTGTTGCTGGCCGGCACCGGCCGCACCTTGGGGACTACCCTGTGGGCTTAGATGGAACGGCGACATATTCAGGGATATCAGGCCCGAATGCTGCTCCATCTCCAATAACATATCACCCTTGCGCAAGTGTTGCACGGAGGAACGTGCTTGTGGCGTATCGGCTCATATATGAATTGCCTGTGAATTCTCCTAGTTCCAGCCACTTTTTCTTTGTTTGTCGTTTTCCTTTTTCTTTTTTTTTTTTTTTTTTTTTTCGCAAGTGGCGCGTATGTGACAGAACAAGAGGCCGTTATCCCTTTTTAAATATCGAAGCGGTAACGGTGTAAACGTCGTGAAGAATTGTTATATTTACAATACGGTACCATCGTCGCGTATGATATCAGTAAAATTGATGATGACAACAACAGACACACAACAACGACGACGACGACGACGACGACGACGACGAGAACAACGATGATATGGAAAGCATAAGCTCGAAAAAAAACACACTATATTCCCTTGGCACGTACAATATCGATCACCAGTCACGTTTTTCTACGGCACACATTCATAAAGAAAATCATCGCGCACCATCGTAAAAGATAAATCCTCTTTCGACCAAGTGCGTACTACGTCCGACTCATCATAAATGTGACGAAACGTGAATTTGCGTATATTGCGTGAGGAAGGGAAACAAAAAAAAAAAAAAAAAAAACAAAACGAAAGAAATTCTCGGCTGTCACTGTTGCATCTGTATTATCCGCGAAACAATAAAAACCATTGTACGGCGTCTTTTTTGCTATCCTCCGCTGGTTGTGTGGTCACTGATGAAATCCCGCTTTATAGCGTGACAAGAAACCAAGATAAGCACACACGTGGTTCAAACTACCATTCGACTACAAGATCGTTGCGCGAAAACAATCGAATTGTTGTTCCACCGAGCCGGTAACGAGTCATCACATATGCGCAGACGCGAGATCAAGTTTGATCACGGTATTTGACGCGAAATAACCGACCAGTTCGTTTGATAGACAAGTCCGACGAACGAAGAGGACTCGTGGCACACTGTAATCCAACGGTGTAAACGTCGTAACGTATCCGTACGAAAAGTCGAAAAAAGAAAAAAAAAAAGAAGACTAAAGTCCGGAGCAAATAGACTCAGAGAGCGAGAGTAAGAAAGGGGAAGTAGTATCGTGTCGAGTACTCGATTCGTGCGACTTGACAGCTTGGCTATCTGCGTACGACTAGTCTTCTCGCCTCGTTGCTTTCCCGAAGGGCCCGCCCCCTCCCTCCCGCTGCCCTACCGACGACACATGAAGGTAGGTAGAGTCGGGAGATCGTCTCGTGAGACACGGCACACGTCACGTATATCACAGCAGCAGAAACAACAACGACGACAACGACGACGACGACGATCACGGGCGGTGGACGCGAAAAACATGGGCTGCAGGATATCTTCCTTTTTGATCCATGCCCGGCTGGCTCCCCTCCTCGCGATATTTACTGTTATTGTTATTGTTATTGTCGTTGATGTGATAAAACAACACGCGCAACGGTACTGGCTGCACACACCACACACGACACCGACCACGATCGAAGCGAATACAACGCGACACGGCAGCACACGGTGGTACTCGACGCGGCACGCCGCGGTTTCGCCCGGTATAGAGAGATACGCGCTTCACCGTGACACCGCCGGGAGTAAAATAAAATTGGCAGAACCGGGAGAACGGCGAGAGGCGCGCACACACCACCGGTCGTCGTCAGGCTTGTTTGGCTGTTTCGGTGGGTACGGAGGAGGAAAGGAAAGAAGGAGCGCGCGCGTGTCCCTTTACCGACGGCCACCGATCGAGTGTGAGAGCGCGAGAGCGAGAGAGACGTACACAGCGTATAACCAACACAGCGCACGGCATAAGTGAAAGTGATTCAGCAGCGCATGCCACAGCGCGCGACCAGGTGCCTAACGCGGAGAGTAGTGGAAGTGCCTCTGAGAGTTCGACCGGTGGTAGGGGATAGGCAACACGCGGTGCTCGGGAGGAGAGGGACCGACTGAGAGAGAGAAAGAGAGAGAGAGAGAGAGAGAGAGAGAGAGAAGCAAGAGAACTGGAGAGAGCGGGAGGCACTGCCGCGGTCGAAGGGATTGACGGGGAAAGGGTGAAGGAGGCTGCACAGTTGAGGATGGCGGGGATGACCTACTTACGGAACCAGGTCTATGTCGGCCGGAGAAGTATTGTCGCGATACGCTCCCGCGTCGTACTGCCGTTCGCTGTGCTGCCCGCCGTCGTTTTGTCGACCGTATTTGTCGTCGGTACTACCGGCAAATATCCCGACGCACGTGTACCATCCGAGTGTATACACTGCACGGGTTCCGGGTCCCGAATCGATACGTTTCCACTAACGTTTGTTCCAGCCTTAACGACAAATAGACCGCGAAACGTTACGAAAACGAATCGATTGCGCGATTGAAATTGGAAATTCGCTTAGGAATCGAACGGACGAGCAGGCGCGATCGTTGAAATATTCCCGCGGGAAGCATACTTCGCGACGGAACGGACGAAGGAATAAAAATTGCCGGGCAAGTCGCGAGACATCGTTTACCACGTAACAATCTCCACCGTTATATACTCCCATATTTTCGTCGTCACGCGCGAAGAAAATCGAATGGATGCCGCGAGCCTGCGAACAACTCTTGCTTTCAAAGAGCACAGGGGAACCAAACACAGAGTCGCGGGTAAGCGGGCACAGGGCAGGCGCACAGGCCACATACAGGCCGTGGCTGGGTCAACAGTAACGCCGTTGGCACTCCCCGACAGTGCCAGTGCTTCTCTGTGTGTACGTCGCAGTAGATGTACGACGCGAAGCGGTGGGGAGACCCACTGACCCAGTTCGCTGAGAACATGACGCAGCCGCGACTCACTCCCTCTCATTATGTCTTTTTCTCTCTTTCTCTCTCTCTCTCTCTCCGTCTCTCCCTCGCCTTCTCGCACCCTCAACCAGCCACCTCGCGTATCCCACCCTCCCAGTCCATCCTCCGTCTCTCTTTCAGACCCTGTCCTTACCTCTTTACACGTTCCGTCACCCTAAACATATACGTATATCTCTTTTTCTTCTTTCTTTCTCTTTCTCTCCTCTTTGTTGCGTCTCTCACTCTTTCCCTCTTTCCCTCTATCTCGCTCCTTTTCGTTCTTACCCTTGCTCTCTCTCTCTCTGTCTCTTTTCCTGTCCATGCCTAACGCGTATCGTCTTTGCTCTTTCCGAACAGGCTAACCATGCGACGCATTTCTTTCTCTAACGCTGCCTTACCCGACCCCTCTCCCCTCTTTAACGTGCCATTGCTTATACACACTCCGAACGTAATTGTCGCGCTCTTTTTCGTCCAAGTAACTGTGCGTGCCTACCGTAATAGTGCATACATTTACGTACGATTCGTTGTACCTATATGCAACTCGTGCAACACACTCGTATGCACGCGCTCGCACGCGCGCACGCCGTGTCATCGATGAATGCACGCAGCAACTATTGCGAACGTGTTGTCGTCATCATCGTTGTCGTCGTATCCAGTGCACCGGGTTTAGAGGTTAGGTGCATTGTATATGAGACGCCACGATGTTTTCTCGAATTCGACCTGATTATTTCCAATAAAAATTCGTCGACGTACACGTTTCATGGCGTTCGAATCGTAATCTACGATATGCGATAATTTTCGCGAATAAATCATTTCTTTCTTTCTTTCTTTCTTTTTTTTTTTTTTTGGTAATTTAAATGCACAGAGGCATTCGAGCGAAACTTGTGTTTAAATAACAGAGATACGGTGGATTTTCGATTCGAGCACAATGTTGCGCGTATCGTTGACGTTACGTAACAATTTAAAAATAAACCGTATTCCACAATTGTATGCTTAATTACACGATACAGTAAAAGCAAATAAGAAGCGTGTATACAAATGGCGTTCAGATTAACGAGTTATGTACATACATACTGCGCGTGAGAAAGATAGTAACTGAAGAAGAGATGAGAGGAGAATGTAGCGAAAGTAGCGATAGACGCTGGCTCGTGGCTGAATTAATGTTAATTACAAAGCTCAAGCAGGAAAGCTTGTTTCGTTAATCACTCGTCGGAAGAAGTAATTGCGCGCGCGCGCGCGCGCCAAATCGGAAGTGACACCTGCTGAATCCCTCCTTAAAATTCCCTTTTCACTTTCGAGCCTCCGCTCTACGCAACAAGTGAGTATCAAATCAACCTAACGTCACACCTTTTCAAATCGGGACTGTCAAAACCTTTAAAATCATCTTATAGTCATTTTCAATGGCATTTCAGTGACGTAACGAGAGCGAAAGAAATTAAGAACAAGAGTAAAAAAGAATATGAAGAAAATGGCGGGGATAAATCGCTAACAACGGAGTAAATCGTTTTGTTATCCTTTGGCACGAGATGAAATGAGATGTTTGCGAGTTACCTGTTACGAGTATCTTAGGTAATCGTGAAAGAAGTATAGGATCGATCCTGCATCCTGTTCCTCAACGTGTGCCACTTTATATACGGCGCCGAAACGCTCTTACACAGGTTCTTGTGTTTCGCTTTGTTCCTTCGGGTGCAAATCGGAAACGCATATATATATATATATATATATATATATATATATATATATATATACAAATGTATGTACCTGCGCGCGATATCATTGTCGTGGTGGCGCGGGCACGACCATCGCGCAACACATGCGATTTTATTTCCACCGGCACATTGAGAAAGAATAAAGAGGTCGTGCCTCTCTGTGTTCCATTGCATGTCACGTTAAATCACGATCATCGCTGTGTGACGGTAGAAACCAAATGGGAGGGAAAAGAAGAAAAAAGAAAAAGAACGAAGCAAACGAGAAACAAAGAGAGAGAGAGAGAGAGAATGAGCGAACGACTGAAACGGAAAAAAAAAGAAGGGAAAAAGAATCGAACGAAAGGGAAAAGGGCCCGGCGCGGCAGCGCTTCGAACAGTCGAAAGGGCGGAAGAACCAACGAAAGAAAGTGAAAGCTGTGACCCAGAAACTCTGGAAATGTAAATGGCGTGCACCGATACGTTCGGGAATTATAAATCATTATACAAGGGGTTCTATTTGATTTCGACACCACGCTGTAAGCCTGATTTCGTTAGATTCGAATCGCTACAAAACTGCCTTCATAATTTCAATCAGGGGATTATTACGAAAATTACTTGTACAGTTTGATGTTTGATGAAATTGTCATTGAACGTGTTGTTAGGTAAACCATATATATATATATATATGTGTGTGAGTGAGAGAATTATATACATACATATGTTATGAACTATAGTTGGTTGTCGTAGCTTAGTCGATTTGTAATATAAAGTTATTTGATATAGATGGGCGGGCAAACGCAGCAACGACAATGCTACGACAAGGCTGAAAAAGTGCGAGTCCTTTACCCGTATAAGCTGAAATTATGCGGCCATTATCGGCGTTATGCTATTTCTGGGTCAATTAGCATCACGCTGATCCTTTAAATGTCCTACGTACGCCGAGTAGGCGAATAGGTAGCCTGCGAACGCACGCGGAATTGTAGCGTTCTCGGCTACGGAAGTAATTTATCCGGGAATAGACGCGTGGTTCCAGAATTCTGTTTACCAGCTGGCACGATACACTTTTCCCCTTCCGACACAAACACAGAAATCACGTCAAATATATATTGGTAGAGAAATAATAATTTCACATCGCGATACGATATTCGTTGAAGGATATTTGATTTTGTGTTTGTAATCAGATTTTACTTGTATTAATGTAACCTGATAATTGTTTTCAACAGTTTCTGAAAAACTATTTTAATTAATAAAAAACACTGTATCGCAAGTTATAGGGTTTTTCATATTTTTAAAGAAACTGATATTTCCCTCTTTTGAAGGAGATGTAACATGCGTATATAGAGAAAATATTTTCATAAGACTGTTCCATTATTTAGCGATGAAAGTAATTTTCCTTTCACAGATCGAACGTAGTATTGCTCGGAAGAGTGACACGTTAATAAGTCAACCTGTCGAGGAGAAAAAAACAGAAGAAAGAAAGGTATCTGCATATGTAAGTACATACACATCGTCTTCTAGCGTACGATTACTATCTCGTATAATATTAGCTATGCAGGTATGGTATCTGTAACTCGTAATATTCGTCGCAAAGAATATGAGCCTGATGATCTCTCTCTCTCTCTCTCTCTCTCTCTCTCTCTCTCTCTCTCTCTCCCTACGGTCTACTCTTTCTCTCTGTCTTTCTTTTTCCTCTCTCTCTCTCTTATTCAGCGAGCAACGTGCCTCGGTGTGTGAAGTGTGCCAAGGACCGCCCCACTCTGCAATCCCATTTTCGAAACTAAAAGTAAAATCTAACTCATTGTGCTGTGTTACACGCATATACACGTCTATATATCCATGTGCATACATACGTACGCGTATGTACGTACATAAATACAGAGAGACAACCGTAAACGTAGGTAAGAGAGAAGAAAAGAAATAACGCCACCGTGTTAACCATATTTTTGTCACGCCGGTGAAAAAGCTGTCGAATTCATTTAGGGCGACGCCAACTCCACGACAAGGACATATGGCGGACACATGAAATTTTCGTCCCCGAGAGAACGAGTTCGTAAAGTTGTCGATATTACATTCGCGGGGATCCTCTCTCGGCGTCGACGCGTAAGGTCGCACGAAGGATCTTATATCACTGCCCACGGGGTGGGTGGCGTTATATTTTCGACGTCCTTCGATCAGGACCTTCGGTATTCCTTTTCGTTCTCGTTTCGCGAGATCGCGCGATCGAAAACGCGGCCGTCTTCCATTCCTCCGAGATGCGTCTCTTCTCGCGCCTTCGCCCTTACGCGAGGCAAGGATGATGATTTCGCAAAGAATCCTTACGCTCCCTGTAGCCAGAGAGGAGAGAGAGAGAGAAAACGAGGAAAGGTGACGGCTAGAAGAAGATGTAGAGAGAGAGAGAGAGAGAGAGAGAGAGAGATAGATCGTTTCATCCACGAAACGCGAATTGGCGTTTTGCAGGCCAGTTCGCACGTCCTTGACACACTTACCCACATGGGATGATATCGCGAGACCACGTGTAACTGTGTGTGTATTAACGTGCATGCGCGTGTACCCACACGCGACGCGAGTGCATACACACGTACACACATCGGCACTTGTGATCCTGTGTGCAAATGCATCATCTTCCACGTATATGCGTGTATGTGTGTGTGTGTGTGTGTGTTACACAGCGTATCGTGTCGGTGCGAAGTTGCGCTTGCGCACGTGCAGATATCACGTGTATGTGGTTCTATGGGCAGAGGACGCGTAGACCAGGTTGGTCTGTGTGGAAGTTGCAAGGATTTAGCCCCTCGCGTCGCGGGCACGCATAGCATCCGTGTGTGGCCATGTATATAACCCCGTCGTCGCCCATTTTTATTACCTTGCAACTGGGACACACGGCGGAATTCGGAATGGACCACGGAGCCAGTGAACGAAGGGCCAGCAAATCAACGAATCCGGATGAAAAACGCGAGGAGATTCGGCACGGTCCCGCTGACAAGGAAAATTGCCCTGTTCGAGTAAGACCGTACTTCCGTTTGTACCACGGCTTTCTTTCAAAAGTGAAACAACGCGGAAATGAGAAGACAAAACGAATCGAAAACTATCTATCCTTATCCTCATGTATGCCTCTACGCCAGAGTGTGTACATACCGTAGATTCTATTCGAGTTCTATTAAAGCTGCAGGGTAGATTGACAATTTAAAATTCAGACTCTGTCGAAATGTTTTCAAAGTCAAATTCACACGAAATACGAGTTTTCCATAGGATCACTGATAATTATTACATTATCGCGTGCGCACTTGTTCTTGTTACGTACATAGTAACACAAAAGAGTTACATGGTAATAAAACAGAAGAGTAGTAAAACGAGTTCAAATCGAGTGGAAGTTACGCAGAAGATCTATAGTAGTTGAGGTGAATAAATCACAGTGTCACATGTGAGGAATAAATCACGTCACAGGCTCTATTGTATTACAAAAATTCATTTACTTTGCAAACTTTCATTCTTCCGCTTCCGAACTTTCTGTCGAAATTTAATTTGTGACTTGTACTTTCCAGCACCTTTATATGAACCGTAATTTAATTTCAACTATCTTCCTAAGTCAACAAAATGACAGAATTGTGCTTTTCAAGGAAAGGACGAAAATTTCTGCGCTATCTGGATGATCTTCTCCTCGAAGAAGATAGTCATCGAAACAGTTCACATTTATAGTTACAAGCATTGTTCAATCTTGTCCGTTACATTGTCCGAGGAGACGCTGTCATTTCCTCGCCAGGCGTTTCCCCGCTTTCTACGGACAACGATTCATAAATTACGAATATAAATATTTTGAAGTATTGCCGAATATTTTGAAATATTGCCATCTTGTGCAATTCGCAATGGGAACACCGAGTGACCCAATGCCCCAATGACCATCGGTCATGGAGCAAAAAGGGATGTTTGTATTTCCCTGAGAGAATCACCAGATTCGTCACGCACAGCTCTTTCAACTGTTCGTGCTGTAAAAATTTTCCTTGGAGGTGTCGTTATTGTTGCCAGGAGAAAGGTAGCTGTAAAATTTCTGTTCCGTGATGTTTGGGTGTGGCCGAAAATCTTAACGGATCCCAGCCGTGAAGAACGATGGACAGAAAAACGGCGACTGCAGAAAAAGGCTTCCGCTGTTCCCGAGAAATGCTCCCGAGAAACAAAGGCAAGGGTTTCGAGGACTTGAAGCCCTTCGTTTTCTCTCTCTTAAAATATAAATATATATCTCTCGGTGACATTTATATTTTAATTACACAATCCACATTTTGAAAGTTTCATTTCGTCGACAAAACCATCGGACAATTTATTTAGAACCATCGCGAGTTTCCAGAGTGACAATTGTCAATTGAGACGAAATTTTAGTTGCGCAGGATTTAAGAAAACCGATTTCGATCTGTACGATGAGAATACAAGGAGTTCCTCAGTTCCTGGGTTAGCGTAGGAACATCGTTACTCCGGACAAAGATAAAATAATTTACACGATTCGCTCGAACCGAATCTCTCCCGTCGTCTCTCATACGTAACACCTTCAGATAACGTGCTCATCTGTTTCTCCTTCGTTATAGTATAACATGTAAATTCTTTTTTTTTTTTTTTTATCGAATCGTGCGATGATAAGCAAATATCTGGACGTTTTGTTAGTTTTAAAATATTCTCGTAGTGTTATCGCGAGAACGATTTGCGGCGATAGATTAAAATTATTATTAACGATATTTTCTGCCGCTGTCATTAGACTAAGTGATACTCGCTTGATAAGGCTGAAATATTCGAGCGTTATGAATTCGCCGTTGTTCTATAACAACGTACATCGGCTATTTATTGTTTTCAAACGAAGTTTGAATCAATTTCTTATTTAAGCTCGTATCTTGGACGTATAATAGACTTTGCTATTTGTACCAATCGGTAGGAATTTTTTTTATTTCGGATGTTCCAGCTTCTTGCAAGTGACGGTAGTGACCAATAGCGTTATCGTTTCGAATTGAAAACAAAAAAAAATTAGAAGTTAGAAATTATACGTATTTTTGAATCAGAAAATCAACAAAGATCGGACTTGTCGTGCCTTTCTTGTGCAACTCCGAGAAACATTAATCGCTGTGTACAAATGTTCTTCAAGTCGCTTTCGCTGGTTAAATCTCAGCCTCTTCCTCTTACTCTCGAGGCAGGCTAAACTCGATAATGATAAAACCAAATCTTGAAGCTCGACTGAGTCAACACGCGCACGCGACAATCTTACAAAGACGCGATTGTTTCGAACGGCAACGATGCCCGATGAAATGTGAAAGTTCGCGTTCTTCGCCGGACGATAAAGGTATTCATTGCCGTTTATTATGCCTCGTTAACAAGCGAATCATATTTATGTATTTAGTCCATGTTGCGAGTTTGGCTCGCGAGTTACCGTGCACGCAATTTATGTATCTGTCCGCCAGATCGGGCATTGATTGTGCACCTTGAGCTGCAACCCGGCTCGCTGGTCTCCTTTTTTTTCTTCTTCTTCTTCTTTCTTTCTTTTTCTCTTTTTCTTTTTTTTTTTTTTTTAGCCGCCAATCACGATTAAGAAAAGCCAAGGACATCGGCGACCTTGACCGAAAAATCGCTCGCTCGCGATTAAAAATTCGCGATCCACGCGGAACGAGCGTGGACAACTGGTGACGAAAGCACGGTCATCTTCTGCTTTACAGAAATGCAGAGAGAGAACTGAAAATCGCGCGAGCGAGATCATCCTCTCCTCCAGGAGTACGTGTTCGTTTGTAAACAGGATAACGCTCAAGGTTGAAGAGCGAATCGAGTACACGAGACCGTGTCTTCGAGTGGTAAGGCCAATGATAATGATCGGCGACTGTAATGACCGGTAATTTCCCGGAGAAAATAATCTGTCCAAGCCGAACGGTGCTCGGATGGAGGCAAGAGCTGTGAGAATGTCTCTGCCTGGAATCTGACGTACGATTTCTAGAGAGTAACGATATACTAGACAATATCGACGATCAATAAAAAGCATACAATTGTCAAAAATACAGTTGCCAATGAAACGATTAACAACAGGTGACAGTTACTACTGCTGTGTTGATATTCTTTCATTCTAATACGAGGAGTGAGACGAAAACAAAAATGGAGTTGCGTCTGCAACTCTAACGTTGTTCAAACACTCCTCCAACTTCTTCGACATAGAAAAAGATCGTGCATTTTTCATTAAACTACGAGAATCTAACGTAAACGGGACGTGTTCGTCGCCGGAAGTGCTCGTGCTTACGAAAAATGCGCGGAGAAAAAACTCCATTTGTCGACGCGCATGCGCAGCGCACGTAAACGCATATTCGCACGTGACAACGCTGACGGCGGTCACCACCTCGGCTCGTGATTTGCGTCTAGCGGCGTATTTACGTCGCGTGTAGAAAAACGGTAACTGCAGATCATAATAGTAATCCAGCAGCAGCATCATCGGTTCAAGAGCCGATCGAGAGGCAGTCTATGTGCTAGTAGACGCTAAATCGATGAATGGGGCGAAAGTTCTTTCCTTCTCTTTCCTCCACTCGGTCGGAGGAGCTAGCGTTTTATACTCCACGTTACTCGTAAGAACTCTGTGGTCCCTCTCTGTCTTTCCTTGGTTAGTCAGCAGCCATAACCGAGCAGACTCGTGACGCGAAAAGTGGCTCATCCGCTTTTACTTTCCACGACAGCTTTCGTTGGCAATGGTACTAGTTACGGCTGTTACGTTAAGCGGTTACGAGAAAGAAAGAGAGAGAGAGAGAGAGAGCCGTTTCACGTTTGGTTAACTCGCGGCGAGTTGAAGTAAGCCAACTCTGTTCGTCTCGCTCTTTCGTACTTTCTCTCTCTCTCTCTCTCTCCCTCCCTCTCTACGTTGCTCTACACTTCTCTGTTTGCGGTCTTTCAGGAGATCTTTCACTCTCTTTGTTTCTCCTTTCGTTTTCTCTCTTTCTCCTCGCTCTCACTTTCGTTGGCGAGTCTGCCTACGTAATATGTCTGCTGCTTGTCTGTATGTATGTGTGTGCGTGTGTGTGTGCGCGCGCGCGTCTCTCTTCCGCTCGACCGCGATCTTTGTTATGTTCCCTCTCGATCCTCTCTCTCTCGCGTGGCAAGTTTTATTTCGTCAAAGCCCGTAAATAGTATCCACGGTGCGGCGTTTCTTTCGTCATGTTATACTCTCGTAGTATCGCTCGATCATCTTTTTTCCTTCTTTTTTTTTTTTTCCTCCGACGTATCTTCGCCGAAGCTAATTAAGACTCGCAAATATCCACCAGCGCTTTGTTCTTTTAGTCAGGCAAGTATATGGACGAGGAATATTGCAATTCATAGTGCAAGATAGAGGTAAATTTATTGACAGCACTTGAAATGTATGTATGTACTATGATAATATGGAAGCGAGATACTGGGGAGGGGGATTCGTTATCGAGAAATTAATGCTTACCGTTCGAACACGGACGACCGATGTACAAGAACTTAAAAGAAAAGAAAAAAAAAAAAAAGAATTGACCCGTTATTTTCGTCGGAGACATCGATCGAGATACAGGTGCGCCCTAATCTCGCGGCGAGATCGCAACCGGCGAGTTTCAAAATGTCACAAACGACGAAACGAAAAGCTGCGAACGCGAGGTGTATAATTGAAAACGAGTACGCATCTTCCAGTACGACGCGGTACGCGATTCGAAGAGCGAAAAGAAGAAAAGAAGAGGAGAACCGCGATGAATCTAACGCGGGCAGCAATAATTTTTTCTATCCAGGTCAAGTTGAAGAGTTCGAACTGTCGAGGAAGGACGGTGGCCAGCGCGAGGTCACCCGTGTCGTTGTTGCTCGATTATTTTTAGCGCGTTAGGGAGGTGTTTTTACCCCGCGTTATTATTACCGACGTCGTCGTCAGGCTATCGGATGAAGAATACACGGTAACGGCAAATCGAATCGAATCGATAGCCTTACCTAATCCACGAGAGGAAACCAACTATCAGTGAAGGAAATCGTCCTGAACAATCGCGTACATACGTACGTACACGTATATACATACAGTTAAAACTTTTATATATAAATATATATATATATGCACGTGTGCGGAGAAAAAATAAAGGCGGAGAGAGCGGGAGAGGAAGAGCAATGGGCGCCTTGAATCTTTCCCCGGCATAATTGTACGTTTAATAAGCGCTTTATCAAAGGCGATAATACGGCCGATAACGGTATGTAGGTCAGTTTGATATGAGTGACCTGATTCCTGGCTGGCACCGCGTTACCAACGCTCGTAGATCCGCATGCGTGCCACCGGCGTAGTACGATTTTATACGTGTGTACTTATATATGAGCATAATTCTAAACTCGCGTCGTACCCACGTGCACGGCGTCGTCCACACGTTCGCGCGATAGTTAATCCGGCATGCGCGCGCGCACGCACGCACGCGTCATTCGTCACATATGTATGTGAACATACGTT